GGGCACCGGGCTGCGACTGCTGTCTGCCAAACGTGCGCCAGCTGCACCAGGCGCTGACGGCGCTGCTGAGCGAGGCGGAGCGGGAGCAGTTCACGCACTGCCTGAACGCCTACCACGCGCGCCGCAACGTCTTCGACCTGGTTCGCACCCTGCGCGTGCTGCTGGCAGCCCGGTCAAGCGGCGCCTGCTGCCCATGCTTCGGCTGGTCATCCCGCGCTCTGACCAGCTGCTCTTCGACCAGTATACAGCCGAGGGCCTCTACCTGCCCGCCACCACCCCCTACAGGCAACCCGCCTGGGGCTGCCCCGACGGCGCGGGGCCCGGGGAGGTGCGCCTAGTGAGCCTAAGGCGCGCCAAGGCCCACGAGGGCTTGGGTTTCAGCATCCGCGGGGGCTCGGAGCATGGCGTGGGCATCTATGTGTCACTGGTGGAGCCAGGCTCTCTGGCCGAGAAAGAAGGGCTGCGAGTTGGGGATCAGATTCTGCGTGTCAACGACAAATCCCTGGCCCGGGTGACCCATGCTGAGGCCGTCAAGGTAGGGCTCTGGTTTGGGGATGAGTATGGGGCAGAGTGGCACAGCTCCTCATGGTGGCAGTAGCTCCATGCTGTGTGTCCTTAGGAAAATCACTTGACCTTTCTGGGCCCCGTTTGTCTTAGAAATATTTATAACAGGAACATCTAATTTTTTGAGCAGATAGATGTCAGGCACTTGGGATACAGGGATGGGCAAAACAGACTTGGACCCTGCCTTCATGGGGCATAAAGGCTAGTGTGTGGGAGACAGGCATTATCTCTGACAAATGCATGATTACAAAGTGTGAAAAGGGCTGTGGATTCTTAGGAGCATTAAAAGAAATAAGCTCTCTGTTTGGCATATGGTTAGTAATCAGTGGGTGACCTCCACTTCTGTTGTTATTCTCATTATTCTCTAGGCTTCTGCCCCTGAAAGAAAGTTTTGTTAGCTCCAAAGTGGTCCAAGGAGGCTGTTCTGGTGACCCGCAGAGCTCTGGCCTGACCGTGCTGTTTGTGGACCAGGCTGTGTATCCTAGGACTTGTCACATGCCACCTCAGAACCTCTAGTTCTCCACTTGGATCCTGAGTATCTCTAACCTTGTTGGAAACGAGGACCCTGCCTGAATGTCAAAAATAAATCCCCCAATCCCTTCAGAGTAGTTGTACTTTTTGTGTTTGCTAATTGAGAAAAATAAGCTCTTGACAACCAGCGCTTAGGGACTTAATCATGCTGTTTAAAAGGAATGTATGTGTTTGTTAGTCTTATGCCCAGGGTTATTGAAAATCAATTGGAGTATGGGATGGATAGTGTTTGGTTTATGTGTGGATTCAGGGCTCACTTGCAGGTGTACACACACACACACACACACACACACACACACACACACACACACACACCATCTTTGTGTGCAAGAAGTGAAGCATTTGGGGGAAAAGGAACAGTGACACAGTCTGCTTCTGCAGGGAAAATGCTTCCCAGGGTATTTGGGCCAGCCTGTGACCCACCTTCTCACCACCCCGCCCCTTGCCCCTGCCTGGCTCCTCCTCTGTGCAGGTGTTTTGAACTCCAGCCAAGGGCCTGTAGGCTGCTGGGAAAGGCTTAGGCAGCAGAGATCCCCGGATTGCTTCCTGTGTCTGTTAATACCTGTGGCCAGGTGCATCTTGAGCCCACTTCCTGACTGTTCACCTGGGACATGACCATCCTCTGACCTTGACTTCCTTCATTTGCTTCCTGATCTGTCTGCCCTTACGGGAGGCCCCTGAGGGGTTTTGGAAACTTCTTTGCTGCTTCTGGAAAAAGGCTGATGGTTTTATATTGTTCAGGGATGCAGTAGACATAGCTCCTCCTGGGCTTCCAGGCATCCATCCTCCTCTCTGTCTCCTCCCCCCATCAATCTCTTCCCTTTGTCTGACACTTCATGTATTTATAAAGAAATCGTCCATTAGCCTTTGACCCTAAAAGGTCTGGAGTTTCCACATGATAAGTTTATGTTTGAAAAGATGCTTGATCCAAATGGTCATTTATAAACATGGATTCCATCTTAGTGGCAATTTAAAAGGACTCGGGTAACTTAATCATCACAAGGTGATAGACTTGGGAAAGGCCTCAGGTAACCTGGACATTAAAAACACGGAGTCTCCCTTCAGTTCCCATCCCAGACTCAGCCATGCCTCTAAGGCTGGAGCTGCTTGGCTTTCTTTCCGTGAGTTTCCGTGAGGCCCTCCTCATTTCGTCAATGGCACTCTGCATCTTCTGTCTGAACCTCCCGAGTACACCGAGGTGCTGCGACCCCACTCAGAGCAGCATCAGGCCTTAGCGTGTCTATTTACTCTTGTTGCTTCCAGAGTCAAACCTAAACTCTCTTGGCATAGATTTTGAAGCTCCAGGACTATCCTTGCTGGAGGGAGGGGTTGATCGCAGGAGAACTGCCCTTGGATGGGTGCGAGCCAGTGCCAGCGGAGCAGCCCCTTGTCTCTGTCACTTTTCCTGCTGAGGCCAAGGGAGCTCCTGCCACTCTTCCTTCCGGCTTATGTGGCCACGTAACCTGCCTGGAACACGCCCCTTTGGACCCTTCAGAAGCAACAGGCAAACGAGTGCTGCTTTGTGTCACCTTAACTCCAGGGGAAAAGGGAGATGGACTTTGCATGGCTGGAATTTAAAACGGAGGAGGCGGAACCTCCTCCTCTCTACGTTCTCCCGGCGGCGCCTGGGCTGGCAGGAGGGGTGGGCGGTTTCAGGGACAGCTTAGAACACCTGCAGCTGCTCCTGACACATTTCCACACAATTAAGGGTGTCAGGTCCTTAACTGAAAGCCCACAGAGGCCCCGGCTTCTCTACTAGGTACAAACTGCCCTTAACCAGGATTTCTCCACTTCTGGCCCCTCTTTATAAGCTACAGTTCAGGGATTTTTAAAATCTGATTTTATTCAAATGGCACCAATTTTTCTGCTTCTGTCCTTTTTCTGTTCGAGGATACCACATGGCATTTAGTAGTAGCTGTGTTTTCTTTTTCCTTATTCAATTTTATTTTATTTAGTTGTTTTTTACTCCTTCCCCCAGCTTTGTTGAAGTATAACTGGCAAGTTAAAAATTGTATTATTTAAGGTATACAATGTGATGATTTGATATACCTTATATTGCAACATGATTACACATAATTAAAATCATTCATATAGCCATCACTTCACATAGTTTTTGTGTGTGTGGTAAGAACACTTAAGATGTACTCTCTTAGCAAATTTCAAGTGTGCAGTACAGAACTATTAACTATAGTCACCATGCTGTGCATTAGTTCCCCAGAACCTACTCATCTTATAACTAGAAGATTGTCCCAGTATCTCCCCTTTCCTCCACGCCCTAGACTCTGGCAACTACCATTCTGCTCTCTGCTTTCATGAGTTCGACTTTTTAAGATTCCACTTATGAGTGAGATCACACAGTATTTGTCCTTCTGTGCCTGGCTTATTCTCAGCATAATGTCCTCCGGGTTAATCCCTGTTACCACAAATGGCAAAATTCCTTTTTTTAAAATGGCTGAATAATATTTCATTGTATCTAAATTTAGAACACCTTTACTTTCTCCATTCATCCGTCCATAGACACTTAGGTTGTTGTCATGTTTTGGCTGTTGAGGAGGTCTATTTTCAATCTTAAAATCTTTATTTTTCTTCTGCAGGTAAAAAGGGGAAAAAGATCCTCTGAGACTCTCAAAGGAGAGATTCATTGTGTGTGTATGTGTGTGTGTGTGTATAAAGAAAATTAAATTTTAAGAATCAAATTACTTAAAGGTTTATTAATCAGAGAGATCACCTCCTCTCCGTGAACAGAGGGTGAATGCACAAAGGTTCTCCCTCTTTTCTCTTTCTGACAAATCAAGCATCCATTGTTGCGGCGAGTTCAGTGAGGATTTTATCCTCTGTCTGGTGGGGCTCCCATCCCTCTCTTGAAGCCTATTTGCTAAATCAGCAGTGATGGGTCCAGATAAGGCAAACCATTTACTATTCGCAATTATGTTGAAACTTTTGATTTTTGAAAAGTCTATCTTGAATGAACAGGAGCCAAGCTAATAACAATAATAATAAAGTAGATGTTCCAAGATTTTCAGCCAAAAATGCGTGATAAAGTGGCCAAGGAGTCCACAGATCAGGGATGCTGCATTGGGCTCTGCTGCATGTTTGCTGTGTGACCTTGAGCCAGTCACTGACCCTCTCTGGGTCCTAGAGTGGATGAGCCAGGGGCTGCCCAAGGCCCCTTCCAGCCCAGCCTGTGATTTGCTCAGTATGTACTACACAGAAGGCATATAAAACGTCTAATCTGGTGTTTTCTTGTTCTTTTGGAATTGCTTTCGTTTAAGACAAAGAAAGTTGGCTAAGGATTGGGAGACAAGAATTTTGGCACTCTTGTGTAGCCTCTTACTAAATCAAGAAATTGATGGGTTGCACACTGCACTGACAAGAACTTGATTGCTGTCTCTCAACCCAAGAACACTAACCCTTGTGCCATTCCAGAGTAAATCAGAAAAAGACAACAGGATTGTGGCATGCACAGCACCACCCTGGGAGCATTCAAAATCAAATTCATTTACCCACTTGCTTTCTGAGTCCCTGATTCTGTGGGTAGCAGGACGTGGGGTATCCGTGTGCTGCTGGGATGTGTATATAGATGTGTGTGTTTCATCCTGATAAAAATTAACAGCTTCATTACAGTCTCTGTATCCTCCCGGGTACCTCTGAGGAGCATATTAGACTTTGAAACGTTCCAGAAGTTTAAAATAGTGTCTGGCTCTTTTATTTAATTAGAGTTATCACACCCTCCCTTCCTTTGCATAATAAGCCAGAAAGAATCTGTCTGTATTAATATAAGTTATTGTACTTGGTCCGTCACATTTGAAATGACACATTTGTCATTTTCCTGTTGTACATGGTTAGCTGAAGCCATTACAAATTATTAACGCTTCCAACTTTGTGTCTGAAACGCAGCTTCTCCTGCCCGCCTCATTCCTGTATTCCAATTTGGAAACCGTGGGTAATGTATTTGCAGGGACACAGACTTTCCTCTGGCCCTGCACCCACTCTTAGGTCTTGTGAGTCCTGCCAGCAGTGACATGTTGAAAGCTCGCTATTAATAAAACCTTTATTGAATGTGGGTTTGATTGCTGGATCCAGAGCATGATGCAGTACCTTGAGAAGGTCCATTTCTTTAATTTAGTCTTGTATGTTTATTTGGCTCAAGGAGATCCTCAAGGTTTTTAGAAAATGATGGTTCCTATCTTTGTGGGACACAATCTTCTTTCTACTGGTTATTTACTGTTCAAATCAAAGAAGCATTTTTGTAGGGTGGAAGAGAATGCCTTTATTTTTTCCAGAATTGATATTTTTAGTAGAAGATTCCTGCCTCCTGACTTTAAGCTGGACGGGAAAGAGATACAGAATCACCCCAGCGCTAGCTTCTTGTTTTTCTGTCATCCCCACCCCCTCTAGACAAACTGGCGTTGTTTATTACCTGCCATAGATTCATCATTT